AAGATTAACAGCTTAAACCTTCAAATATATTTTACAATAAAGAAAGACAAAATTACAAACCATAATAAAGACAAGAGAAGGCTGACAATTTTAGACAAGCCAATGCCAACCATAACAAGAACTTCAAACCCGAAAAGCACTTATTTAGGAAACATTAAATCAGAAGCTCCAAAACATCAACTCTGCAACTAGCTTCTTCTTTGAACAAGTCTTCTGGCTTTCCTCATCTTCCTTCCACTTGGACTTGGTCGGCCATCAAACAAAGACACAAACCATTTTGGTTTTCCTGTTCGGAAGACAAGATATCCCATCAGCAGTCCAAAAACAACTCCACATCCATAGCCTAACACCACAACTTATCTTTTTCTTGGAAGGAGCTCGGCGGTATCCCAATTCCGTCACAAGATTTTGACAATGGGATTCCACATAGTCCAAGGTTTCCTTCATAAGAACCATTTTCAAAGGTGTTAGAACTGACTGCCCTGCGGTATGCGCCCGGCAAGATGATTATTTGAAAGATTCAATACAGAGAGTTGTGTCAAAGATACCAATTGATCGGGAATTTTCCCCGCCAGCTCGTTGGAAGAGAGATCCAACCATTCCAGATTTGTCAAATTCCCTAGTGACGGTGGGATATGACCAGTAAGGTTGTTATGAGAAAGATTAAGCCCTTTGAGAGAACTAAGCTTTCCAATTACATCTGGAATTTCTCCCTCAAACATGTTATTTGAGAGATGAATACTACTGAATACGGTCAAGATTCCCTGCAGCTCATAGTCGAATCCCTTCCATGTCACAACCAGTGAATATTGATAAGAATTGACATTCATGTATTCAGGAGAACCCTCATCTCTATAAAGGTCCATCATCGCTTTAAAATTTTTGATGTACCGAACAGGCAAAGGACCAAGGAAATCATTGTTGGAGAGGTCCAGAACTCGTAACCTGAGAAAAGATGGACTTTCTTTGGTGCTCTGCACAGAACCGTGGAACTTGTTGGACCTTAAGACAAGCACTTGAAGGTCTGGTAGAGATTCTAACCAATGAGGGAATGTGTCCTCTATGTTGTTGTTGCCAACGTCTAGAACCTCTAACGTGCTACAATTCACCAAAGACCTTGGTAATGGGCCGTCCATTTGATTTCCATGTAAGTTGAGATTTTGTAATCCACAGCCCTCTGGAAACCCAAATGGAATATTTCCATCAAAGTAATTGACCTGCAAATTCAACACTGAGAGAAACTTAGGAAGACAATTTGGAATCTTCCCGATTAAATTGTTATGAGAAAGGTCAAGAATTTGGAGATCATCCTTTTCACATAGCCATTGGGGAATATTTCCATGAATGCTATTTTTGGATAGCACTAGGCTTTGCAGACCATTTGAATGTCTTATGAAATTGGGGAATTCACTCAAGTTACAAGAAGAAAAGGAAACATGAGTTAGTTTGGGTAATGTGAAGTTGGCATTGACATTCATTCTCAAGGACAAATTATTGTCTGAAAGAAAGATGGTTTCCAGATTTTGAAGCGCCGAGAAGATGTCAGCTTCTACTAAATCACTAAAATGATTTGATGATAAATCAAGATAACTAAGATTTACTAAAATAGCAATTGAGTTAGGAATTGAGCCCTGAAGTTTATTGTTTGACAAATCTAGACCTATGAGTGAGTTTTGCTGGAATTGATTTATTTGACCTTGAAATTGGTTATGATTGAGATACAAGGACTCTAACAAAGGTAGGGTGAAAATCCAAGGTGGCAACATACTGGAAAACTGATTATTGGAAAGGTAAAGAGAGGAAAGTTGTGTGAGGTTTGCAAGTGATGGTGGGATTTGTCCGCTAAAATTGTTATAAGAGAGGGCTAGCAAAGCAAGTTGCCTTAAGTTACCTATGGAATCTGGAATGGAACCAGAAAACTGATTATTGGAAAGATCAAGAAAGGTAAGTTGGGTGAGGTTTGCAAGTGATGGTGGGATTTGTCCACTAAGATTGCTAGAAGAGAGGTCTAGGATAGTAAGTTGCCTTAAGTTACCTATGGAAGCTGGAATGGGACCAGAAAATTGATTACGTGAAAGGTCAAGAGAGGTAAGTTGTGTGAGGTTTGCGAGTGATGTTGGGATTTGTCCGTTAAAATTGTTAAAAGGGAGGCTTAGGTCAGTTAGTTGAGATAAGTTCCCAATGGAAGCTGGAAGGGAACCTTCCAAGTTGCAGCTAAGACTTAGAGACTGTAATGACTTTAGTTCTCCTATAGACTCTGGCAATCGCCTTCCGCAATCCATGACAGATAAACCCAAATCTTGGAGAGGATTGCTCCAATTGGAACTTGGAAGATCAATAGTGAGGTTTTCGTTTCCACCTAAACTAAATTTCTTGAGATTTGGAAAGCGAAAAATACTGTTTGGAAAGTTTCCTCTTAACCCACTCTCGATAAGATCAAGAGTAGTCAATGAAGAAGAGAGATTCATGAAGAAACGAGGATTAACAGATGTCATGTTCACTCCACTAAGCTCAAGTTCTCTCACCTCACTCAAGTTGTGAACAAGATTTCTGAAGGTAGTTGTTTCAAGGATCAATTTAGGAGAATCATCATAAAGGTTATTAGAGAGATAGAGAGAAACTAACTTGGGGAGGTGAGCAATTTCTGCTGGAACTTGGCTCGAAAATCGAGAAGAAGAGATATCAAGATGCTTTAGTCTAATAAACTGACTGATTTTTGGTGGAATCTTGGAAAGCCTAAAATCATTGTAGGCAAGATTGAGGCTCTCCAGGTTTTTGAGGAGAAAAAGAGTGCTGTTCGAAGGAAAGGTGCCAGAAAGGCAATCGAAGCTGAGATCAAGGGCAATTACATGACCTGTGACATTATCACAGCTAACCCCATCCCAGGAGCAGCAGTCTATACCTTCCTTCCAAGACTCAGTCTTAGTACCACATAAATAAGGATTATAAACAGTGTTGTTGATGGTACTGTTGTTGATTGAAAAGGAAGTCTTGAATTGCAACAAAGCAGCAGCCTCCTCAATCCTCATGAGAGCAGAGTTGTGTTGATGAGAAGGAAGAAGCATGTATAGAGGATGAGAAGGCAGTTTTAAGACAGAGGAAGACAAAAAGGAGGCAGAGTGGCGCGGAGAGCTTTGTGAAGATCCTCATATCTTTGTTTGGCGCAATAGAGTACTCAAGAAGAACATACATATAGAGTGTTTCAAATTGAGGTACGCTGATAATTGAATATATTTCATCAAAAAAAAAAA